AGTAAGAAAATAGCAATTTTAGGCTGGATCTTGTCTTCTTTTCTTATAAAAAAAACAAAAGATTTCTTTTATATTTTTATTTTTCTATATATTGTTCAGAGTTTAGTAATTGCCAAACTAGCAATTAACATTTCTAGCAGGTAGGCCCGGAGTTGTTCGGTCAAAAGTAACGATAGCGAAGATTAAAATTATTACGTTATAGTCAACTGTAGCCGTTTCCACAAAATGCAAGAATTGGGTCCCCCTGTTTCCAGATTGATTAAAGAATTTTTAGATGAGTCTAAAAATATNTATAACGATTTAAATGACCTAAATTTCTATATATTTTCCTTAAACGTATAAATTTTCTGTAATAAGACGGTAAGAGCATACGGTATCGATAAATTTGCGGTTGTAAATCGCTAACGGAATGACGTCGCCGTCACGTGGTCCGTTAAAAGGGGTGTCTTTTTACATACCGACGAGAACAGACAACTTGACGGAAACGCTAAATTAACTCCCGAAAAAAAAATTTTTTTACCTTTATTTCAACGCTTTTTAATTTTGTAAGGAAAGAGATAAATAAAACTCGTATATTACTTTATTAAAAATTAAAATCTCAAGTTCATGTAGAAGAAGAAAGATTAGATTTGAATAATAATAAGCAATAAATATTTAAAAAATATAACGAAGAGATTTAAATAATTAGGGAATAAAATAACAAACAACGATATCGCTTCCATACCACGTCGGTGTTTGTCACTTACGACAAAATATTTGTAAAATATTTTACTTTTTTTTTGCAACTAAACGGAAAAATAAAAGAAATAAATAATTAATAATTTCCAAATAAATATTTAAGTTACCTTATTATTTTATTTGCATTAATTTTCTAAGAGAAAAAACTACTCTAAGACAGTCACTGATGTTGATAACCTCAAATTATATAATTTATAATATATAATTTGTTCTATAATATTTTCGGAAGATAAGACAGGAGTTTAATTGAGATTTTTAATGTAAGCCTATAATTTTTGGTCTATTGGACGAAACTATGTTGCGGAATTAGACGAAAATTTATAGGACGTATGTTAATGTGCAGTTTTATTACTTCGAAATTTAATATATTCTAATTATGATTTTCTCCTTAATTATTATTATTATTATTTGTCTAAATAGCATATAAATTTTCGTCACAGTGACGAAAGTTATTAGGGTCTAAAATAAGAGTTTTAAATGTTCTTTATCACGTTTTTCCCATTAGCTTGGGTAATTATATAAGTAATTAAAAATTCATCGTGACACTTTATAGGCTGTACTCGTCTCCGGATAGCTTCGGAATTCCCGTAAATCTTATTAAACTCATTACTTATATGGATGAGAGAGATGTTCGAATAAGAGTTTTCTAGAAATCGTCCGAGGGCCGATGCTAGAACAGACGAAACCTTGACATCAGACGTTTTCACCTTGAACTGTCGCCCGAGTTTTGTCTGCAGACGACAGTGTTCAATTACCCTAATCATTATTCTTTCCTATTGATTCCTATTACAATCGTTATCGTACAAGTCTCGCCTTTGCACTCTTTGTCTTTTTCTTCTACAAATTACGTGTCGATAGCATTTCCATCCGAAAATTGATAAATTTCTAAAGCAACATTCCTTTACTTTATATATATATAAACTTATATAGGCCTTATATGTATTTATTTTAAATTAAGTTGTCTTCTTAACCCATATGCAAATGACAAAAATGAATTCGAATGTAATCTTGGCTGTTCTTTTTAAATACTCATATGGGTAATTCGCGCTTCACTTTGAAAATTATTTTATTTCGTTGAAAATTCATAATTTCCAACGAAATTTCGAGAATTTTGAATGAACTTCCATTAATTCAAAAAATAATTTGTCATCGAATAAGGATTGATGTTATCAATCTTCGGTATATAGGCCTACGTAGTGGTATTAAAATCTATTTCGTTAATATTCACAATTTATTCCAATGCAATATTCAAATTTATTTTTAGGATACTTTTTCGAATTTATTAAAACAAGAAAAATTCGTTTTTAATAATATTTTTTCTTCCTATAAAGTCTTATAACTTATGCTTTGCTTCCATGTTTTTAATTTCTCGAATACTGTTCTACACGTTGGCGAGCTTTTAAATCGTGAATATTCTATATTATTATTATTTTTTTTAATTTAAAAACTTCAAATTTCTTAAAAATAATTATAAAAGTGTCCATATCGTTTTAAATTGCTGAATTTTCTTTTTTTTTTTTTTTCAAATTTTTAACGTATTTTTAATACCATTTTAATGTAAGTTATATTGCCTTTTTAATCAGTGTTATAGGCTGTAGAGATTTACATAACTTTCGAGTTCAATTTATAAAGTATGTAAATCTTGTATTTCTTGAGTTTAAAATAAATATCACACTTTGTAATTATTTAACAAATTAAACCAATCACTAATTAAGACTTTGACGTCAGTAATAATCTGTTACGAATATAGTCGCCTTATTGAATATTAGCCTATTATCTGTTTTTTTGGATTAATCTAAATTAAAAAAAAACATGTTTGTTCTCATTAATAACACAGATTAAACCTCTTTAATCCGGCATTCTATGCTCCAGTAAGCCACATCGGCTTAAATCGATAAGCCGATTTAAGAAGGTTCAATCTGTATTACATAGGCCAAAATATGCATTTTTGTAATATGATATTTATAAAATTTAATTACAGGAAAGCCTTAAAACGACATAGACTACACTTTTAAGCAATTTTATTGTTAGAGCTTACGATAAAAAGAAAAATTATTGTCCAGTTTTACGGTTTAAAGAATGCGATTGTTCGATATAATCTTAAGTGCATTATTGACAAAAAAGGATAATAGTATATACTGCCTATATAGGTTTACATATGTATACATATAGACTATCTGAAGCAGCTTCAGGAAATAGCCCCATTTACATATAGATTCTTATTGATTTTTGAACGCCTTACATTTAAAATATTAACTTAAGTTATGAGAAAAAATATCGGAAAATTAGAAATCTGTACGACAATTTTTATTCCAGATCATAGCTTATAAAATATTGCAATTTAATTTAAAAAATTCATAAAAATGCTTGTAAATTATATTAATATTGTTCAATACTTCACTCTTCCATCAATTTAAAATGTAAAACTTCTTCGAGTAATCTTATTTATGACGTTTTTTTCTCTTAAAATATTTAAATAATGCTCAAAAGGTTTATGGCCTGCAAGTTTACGTTTGCTTATTATTTTAAAATTTCGTTGTCTTGCATTAATTATTCTACCGAATAATAATAACAATAATAATGTGTCGTAATAGATTCGTTTAATTAAGTTTTCCGAGCAGTATATTTAGAAAAAAATTAAATATTTTAAACCTCGAAGAAAAATAATTTTATTTTCATTATCGGGTTCAAATTTCATAAGTTTTCCACGTGAATCTCATCTATGTACTGTACGTTTAAAACACGTGTAAAAAATTATCAAAATTGTATTTACATTACTAACTTTCTTAGATTTATTACTCAAAATAAACAGGGTAAAAACTTAAAACGATTAAAGATGTCGGCAGTTTATTTAAAAATTGCCAGTATAGGCCCTAAAAAGCCGTCTTAAAAGTGACAACTCCGAAGAGATTCCGTTTAAAACGATAAAAAGAAAGCTCGACTATAAAAATTACGATATTTAGAGTCAAAACGTTTCGAATACTTATCTTAGTTATGTATTCTAGGCATTAAAAGTAAGGATCGTCGACCTCTTTGGAACGAAGAACGACAATTCTTAGAAATTATTCAGTAATCCCCGTTAATTAAAAATTACTTAGAATCGATTTAAATCTCCGAACGAGGCGAATTCGATTGTAAAGTTTTTCTCCTCTCAAAAAAAAGGAAAGAAAAGAATTCATAATTTTGCTTTGGTAAGCACCCGCCCGTGTTCTACGGTTACAAACGATTCGGAAAACAATCCTGGATCATGTTTCATAACAAATGAGAGCTTCGTATTCGAAGAAGGAGGATCGGAAAATCACTAAAAAAACCGAAAAAATATACAGAAATTTCTTATAAACACGACCGATACAAGAAAGGCGATGACGATTCGGTCGATTTTTATATAAGACGTTTCGTAATTGGATGAGATCTGCCGTAAACGAATTTCGGCACGTAAACGTACGAAATTCGTTTTGTACAGATTTTAATTAGAAAAATTTTAATAAAAATCTTGTAAATTTTCACTCCGGATCAATCGACAGACGTTTGTCAAATTTATTTAGACTGGAGAATGATGCGTAGTGACTTATTTCCACACTACTAGATGAGAACGACGAAAGTTGCTGTAGTCGATTCGAAGTCGCATCGCCATCTAGTGGAAAACACGATCATTAATTTGCTGTTTATTAAAATGTTTACAGAAAATTCGATTAAAATTATCCACAAGAACAATTTGATATAAATTTATCCAAAAACTAAATAAACTATTTTAATACACTTCAAAAAAAGTATTAGAAATATTAAAATTTCTACGTTATACACGATTTCACGATTTATTTTCGCCAATGCATTAAATATTTCAGAAATTTGTAAGAATTTAAATTGGAATTTTTTTAATTTGTAGGTTGTAATTCAAATGTATTAAAATTTTCAAAAATTATTTACAAGTGTAACGGATTTTATATCGACTTACCAAAAAAAATTTAGAAAAAAGAAAAGAATTTAAAAACTAGATTCGAATTTTCTGCACCAGATGGCGGAGTCAGACGATCCGAGATGAGAACTGTCGCCTGGTAAAATAATTAATCGACGGGATTTACGAGTTTTATTCATCCCGAACCCGAGACATAAAAATGGATTTAGTCCGCTTTCGCTCATCAAAAATATTTTCCCTTTTTAAGAACTTTAAATCCTCCGAGAAAGGAAAAAAAAAGCCAACAAATTGTTAATAATAGCCGACGGCCGAATAAAAAAAAAAAAAATAATAATAGAAATAACTTGGCACTCGAAAGAAAAGTCCTTGGAATAATTTCGAAATCGTAATTAAAAAGTTAGTTGGGACGTGTTTGGAAGTTTTTCTCAATTTGCGGTTTCTTCCTTCTTGGGACGAGGGGAAGGCCAAATTAATTCGCAATTTCCAGGCGAATAGGAGGCGATAATTTTAAACAGACGGCTTTGAGAGGAAGCCAAAGGATGTTGGAGAGTAGCCACGTTCCCGCCGTTCGGTCGGGGATAGGCAATTCGGCTATAGTTATGGAACGACCGAGTCACGAAGGAAAGACGTTGATGCGAGACGTCCGTTCTTTCCAAACATCCTCTCTGAAGAAAGTCGAGACTCGAGTCACCACCTCATCGGGACGTCAGTTACTAGAAAGTAAGGACAATCGCGGCAACCTTAACTGTAGAATCTTGGGTAGTTGCGGTTCCTGGTTCGTCAGAGATTGCAGACCAGATTTGCATATCGGAAGAGTTCTTCAGGATCTCTACGTGGGTGAGTTCTTCTTTTATTTTATTTTATTATTATTTTTATTTCTATATATATATATATATATGTACGACGGAAGCGGTAAAGGTATAATACCCCTCCGGCTTTCTCCCGATTTAAAATTCTTTTACGTAATCTATTTACGACGTGTCTCGAATTAATTATTTTAAGAAAGGGAGGCGTTTTGTTTACGCTTAACCAATTGGCAACGGAGAGAACAGGGCGTTTCCGAAATTCTGGCGGGAAAAGAGTTTATTTTCGGATATTTAAAACGAAGATTTACGGATAGAATTTCAGATTAAATAATTCCAAGAATAGGAATAGTGGAATATATATATATATATATATAAAACTTCTCAAATGAAAAGCGAATTTTTGTTTTCCTAAACTTTTAAAATTCGAACAAATCGCAGATTATTAATAACGTTTTCCACAAAAGTTCGTCGATACGAGTACAGCTCGTGCTTTTTCGCGCGATGAAGCAGCCAATGTTAAATTTGTATAATATTCCACAGGTTCTCAAGACGTGGCTCAGGACTTGGGCGTTCTCAGGCAGAATCGCATCACGCACGTGTTGAACGTGGCTTCGTGGGTAGACAATCTTTACGCCGACGAAATCATCTACAAAAAGTTGAACATTCGCGATATTCCGTCCGCCAACATCCGACAACACTTCGAGTCCTGTTTCGACTTCATCGACGAGGGAAGGGAAACGGGCCGAGTCTTCGTTCACTGCAATGCGGGCATCTCGCGTGCTTCCACCATCGTCATCGGATATCTAATGAGTCGCTTCGGCCTCAGATTCGACGAGGCCTTCCTCAAAGTCAAAGAGGCTCGACCCTGCATCTGCCCTAACGAAGGCTTTCGCAGGCAACTGAAGGAGTACGAAAACGAACTCTTCCGCGACTACCGGGTGAAGAGCGACAGAAGTCCACGCATTGCCCTCTCCGACAAGTAACGTTTTTATTTTACTACGCCTTCACAGTTTTAACCACAAATCCAGAGAGAGACCACAAAATTATCCACTTGAAACTGTTTATATTTCTCTTTCGCGCCTTTCGCATTTTTGGATTTAAATAAGAAATGTTTCTTACCTTTTCTAAATTGGGATATTTTATAATAAAGTTTTAATTGTCCGAAGGCGACTTTTATAAGGATTTCCATGTCAAAAATTCTTTTAACCAATAAAATCGTTTTTAAAGTTGTTCGCTCTCTTTTTCTCTACGAATTCTCTCTCGAAAAGTAACGACTCTACTGTACTTCATCCCTATTCTCAACTAGTAGCCCGCAGACTCCCAGGGGTCTTCGGAACTCTGCCAGAGCCCGCGGTACACCATGGTGTGGGGTTTTAGAGGTACGCAACACGAGAAACGTTGAGAATCACTAGCTTACGCGACATTTTCTAGAAAGTTTTTCCTTCCAAGTCAACCAACTCTTTTCCGACGATCGCGGGTTTTCATATTTTGTATGGATTTTTAGAAAACTTTAAAAAATTGCGTTTTAAATATTGCCATAATTATCGAAAAAAGTTAATTTCTCGCCTTAGGTTTTGATCGATAATCGGACGAAGACAATCGACGTGTGACGTAATTGGCGGAAGTGACGCGGCAGCCGTGAGGGGAAAAAGAGGAGAAAGACGGACGGCCGAGAGAGTCGACTGGCGCCAGTCGAACGGGAGCATCCGGTCGTCGAGTAAATGCAACCGACCCGTCAGATATACTCGACGCTTGCTTCTCTATGACGTAGAACAAATTGTGACGAGATGATGACGTTGCGTCTTCGCGTCGTAAGGCGACGTCTATTAAATTAAGTGGCGGGCTTTTATTTATTCGGAGGAAAAGGCGAACGAGATGCGTTTGGTGGACCAAATAAACACTTTCCTCTTCGACTCTGAAGAAATAAAAACTTTCCATTATTTCCGAAGATACATTTTCCACTTCGCCCTCCCTCAAAATCTCCATTTAACAACCACCAAATTCGGAAGTTTCGACTTCGTCTTCGCAAATGGCATCCACCTTCTCTAGCGTCACTTTTCGCGGATTTTTGCCAAATATCCCGCCCAAATGACGTATCTCTCTGCGTTTGGAACGTAGTCGAAGACTAAAAAAAAACAAAATATCTTCGACTTTTTGCCGATTGTTAAATAAATTCTTCTTCGAAACTGTTCGACGAAGAAATTCGGATTAGCGAAATAACGCGAAAGTACATTGATTTATCCGAATATTTGCATCAATAATAGAGTTAGCTGCTCCGATTTTGAAAAAAAATTAAATCATATTCTCGGCAGATTTTCGTAAATTTATTGAAAATTGTGATTTCGTTCGTTCGAAAATAATCTTTGGAGAGGCAATCTTCTAAATGATTTAACCGTAATTGGATTAAGATTTACAAAAAAGACGTTAACTTCCATATAGTAATTGGTAGTTTGATAGGAAAGATACATTATCTCTGTTTGACCTCCTGTGGTTTACCAAAGGATACAATGTTTACCTATGATGTATTGTATCTATTTTTATTCTTTTGTATGAATTAAAATTTACCGAGCAACTGAAAAATCGGAAACTATTTAAAAGATTAAATTTTATTTTCATCTGACTGGTATAGTACAGTACGTTAAATCTGACCATAGGCTTCTACAGAAAATTTTCCAGGGGGGCAAAGCTTGGAGACATAATTACATCAGTTTAATTTTAAGATTTTTTACAGTGTTTATCCGAATTACTGTACCTTATAGAATACAGTATTGCATGAAAGTGTCTCATGATCTAATCAGGGTTTTTACTCGATCCCAGGGAAGGGAGTTTGCCCCCCTCTGTGGACGCCCACGCTGACCATGGAAGGTACTGATGATAATTTCGCAAAATTCTGTTTAAAATTTTATTTGTTATATACTAGATAATAGTTTTTATTTGTGAAAAAAGTGAGATCACGTTTGTTTGAGAATTCGGGATATCCGGAATGACACGAATTAATTGTTTTTTATTAACTGAAAGTGTTATTGGATTTTGTAGTAACATTAAGAAAGGGATAAGAATGGAGGAAATATTTCTTGTTTTCTTGTCTTCGAAGTTATTAACTGGAATAAATCGGATGACAGTCGAACAAAGTTTCCGATAAAAAGATCTTGTCAATAATATACCGTCGACCGAGAAACAATAATTGCTGGCCAAAGTAATGCCGTTCTTTTTCGGACGTTCGCAAGTCGAAGAAGGATTCGGTCGACGTCTTACCAACGATTCTCGATACTTCTTTTGTAAAATATCTGATAACGTGTTGTTTGTTCTTCCGTAAACGTTTATAAAACATGAAAAGAACTTAATAATAGAAATAAAGAAACCACATTTCGCATTAATTATTTATCGGCAATAATTTAAAATATATTTATTGATCAATATCGAATAAAATATTCTCTTTATACATCTTATAAATAGAATGATTCAATTTTTTTTTTGGGTCGTTCATTTGTCTCCATCGTAGGAAGAGACGTTAGTAAAACATTAATGTAACCTATTTTGCTTGGCTTCTTAAGTTTCTCTCTCTCCTACACTTTAATGATAAATTATAATTCTGTTTGACTTAGTTTTATTTATAACAAATTAAGTTTTAACGTAATTTCTTGTTTATAATTAATTATATTTCATTTATTTAAATTCTATTCTATTCTATTTATTTAAATTAAATTTATTATTTATTATTTTAATTAAAATAATAGTAATAAAACAAATTATTTTTACTTTTGTTATTTATTACCCTTTTTTTAAATATCATTTTGTAAAATGTCATTTCATTTAATAAAGTAACAATTAATTAAGAATCTGATTTTTGTTCCTACTTCTACAGGGCTGCAGAGGCAGACAGTTAAAAATATCCATTTAATTATGATCTAATTACAGTTAATCAACAATTGCATAAATTCTAAATTTAAAACGTAGGTCTATTATCATGCAGATTTAAGTTTTAAATCTATAATGTATGTAATCGCAGTGGTTAAACTGTGGCTTTTCTAGAGCCTTATTACGGTTCCTGTATATCGAACCCCTATCAAATAGATTTCATTCTACTTTTTAACAACATTTATAAGTGTAAAACGTATTTTGTATTTATTTTGAGATAATTTAGACTTATTCTATATGTAACACTAAACAAAATTCGAGGCCATTAGTGGCCGAATAAATGAAAAATGCTAGTTGGTCGCGGATTCGCGCCTCGCCAACGAGTTAGCCACGTAGAGTTTTCCGGGTTTTCTTCACGTTTGTAACGAAATTGGATAAAAATATTGTTTAATATTAAATTAAATTATGCCAGATAACTCACCATACACTAAATTTATTTTGAAAATATATTATATAACTTATAGTTATTTCTGAAGTGGTTTAATTTGATAGAATCTAGTGCGAATTAAAAAATATTTTCAAATAATTAATGCTTTAAATTAAAATCTTTTTTTAAAAAGAAATATTTTAATAAAATCTGAAAGTTTTTCTTAGCGTTCTCTGAATTGTTAGAGAGAATCCACTTTGCTATCAACCGCTAACAATATAAAAACCCAAGTGTTTAACTTCTTTGTTTTTTGATAGATCAATTAATCATTAAAGCAGCTCTTCAGATATTTTATCCAATTCTTTACTTTTACTGAATTATTTTGCATCTTAAATGGTTAATATTTTAATTTAGTAAAGGAACCTTAAAGTGTTTTCGTCTGTTCTGTTTTATATTTTATACTTAGCATTGCTTTGAATAATTTAAATTTGAACCAAACCAATTTACTTTCAACTTTGAAAAAATAATAGAAAATATGAAAAAAAGTTAATTTTTAATTTTAAAATTTAAATTATTTTACATAAGCAAATATAAAAGTAGCCTATACAATTTTTGTAAATATTTTTAAATTTAAAAATTAAAATTTTTGCTTTTAATCGCCTCTGTGAATAAACTAAACAAATAACGAGCGATTATTTATTGTGAGATAGTCACAATGCCTGGATGCAATTTTTAATCATATTTTTAATTTATTTAATTTAAAATATATGCTCTCCATCACAAATTATTAGTGGCTTGCCCCTGTACATCATACTTTCCCTTAAACAATATAGTCACACCGATCATCTATTAACTGCTTTCAGGGGGAACTTTTCAAGTGAAATAACGTGCCTTCCGTTGAAAACTGGAAGTTAATATATAGTCATTCGGGGCCTCCTGCCCCCAAGGTTTCCATATCTAATCAATTCCGTTCTTGAAATTAAGAAACGGACTTGAAATTAAGGACGGTAGTGGGAATTTATATCTACAATTTTTTTCAAATTGCACTCCAATCAGACTATTATAAAAGAAAAACAAATTGCTCTCAAGCATCCTTAATAAATCCTAATATTATTTTAAAATTATTTTATATTTATTTTTGATATATTTGATCTTTCATATTCTAAAAAATTCATTTTATTTGTAAATTTACTAAATTTATAAGTAAAAATAGTTTTAAAATAAATATTTTATAAATAAACCATTTTATAAATAAATCATTGTTTAAAACAGATCTTTGATAAAATGGGGGAATAAAGTAACTTATTCGATTATTAATAAATATTTAAAATCAAAAATCGTTCCAAATGCTCTATCTACTTTGCATAGTGTTTACTAAAGTTGTGATGAATCAGCAAGGAGACGACGAAGGACAAAAATATTTATTAGACCAACTCGCGGAAGTGCATTTTATTTGTTTCAACCCGCAATGAAAATTTACCATAGAAATTAATATTAAAAACAAAAAAATTATAACAAAACTGTGAGTGTATGCACTAATCAATACTTTTAACAACGCCGAGAACAGCCTGCGCGAAATCGATCTGATTTTGTGCAGCTTTCGTGTAGTTAATGGAGATATTTTATACATAGAATCTAATCACTTTTAGACCTTGTCTGTCATGGAAATAATCGATACAACTCCTACAATCGTCAACATCATTCTCGTTGCTTTCAACCAGAAACTTTTCCTCTTTACACTCAAATGAACTTGATTTTTGCATATCTCTCACTGAAGAACGTTATAAGACTTTCTGTGAGGCATATTATCTCAATATTTTATGCGTGCCTTGTACTTAAAATTATAAAATTTCGAGCGAACATGGTTATCTGAAAGAGCCACGTAGCCTCATCTAACGCGATTTATTTTCAGTGTGATGTAACTATAAGATTTCTTTCTTATTGA